GTACTCTAAAAAACACTATCATTTTGGATGATTTATAAGTGTTTAGCCTTGATGAAACACTGGAAACAATGGTGGTGTGATTAGTAGTGATGTACCGATATCACTTTTTCAGCTGATACCTATGCCGATGCTGATGGATGGGAATAAGCAGATACCGATGCCGATGATGAATTTACTAATTAATAAAAATTTAAAAAGTCAAACAATGATTTTAAAAGTTATTAGAAAAACTCAGTTAAAATAATATACATTTTTATTTTTTTTCTACTATGAAAATAAAACTTTCAAAAAAATAAATACAATTTTAGAGGAATGCTTTTTATTTTAATTTAAATAAAAAAAAATAAGTATATGCAGTTTACTTAGAATTCTTTAATAATTTATTAGTAATTTAGATATCTAAAAAACAAACATATGTTGTTTAGACATATAAATTATTTTTAGATAAATTGTTTTTAGAATTATTTTGTTTTGTGATGTTTGATCCCACCGCGTCCCTGGTAGTACAGGGCTTAACTTGTTTCTACATGCAGTGACATTGTTCATCAAAGTTTGTGTTTCCGAGTTATAAAGTTGGCTATACTTAAATATATGAAATAAGGCTGAACTATTTGCAAAGAAATTCTCTTCTAATCCGACTCTCAAATTTTATGGCCATTCTCTTCTTTCCATTCTAATTAAACAGGTTAACCATTGTTAGACATTCAAATCATTTCAGCTTTCATTACTCATAGTCCTATCTCGATTAAACTCTTCTATGGCTTGTGGTCCAGACAACATTCCTGTCACAGTCTTACAAAATTATTCTCTTGAACTCTGTTCAATTTTCTATAATCTATTTAATAAGTGCTTGACTGAATCTTGTTTTTCTGCCTGCTGGAAAATGGCATCTGTTGTTCTAATTTTTAAAAACTCTGGTAAACATACTGACCCCTCCGATTATTGTCCAATCAGTTTTTTTTCTGTTATTAACAAGGTCTTTGAGTCTTTGATAAACAAATTTCTCACATTCCATCTTGAGTCAAATAGCTTGCTGTCAGACAAATAACTGTTGCAGTACTGTCGACATTCCTATATTGATGAATGGTAACCCTCTCACTGATTCCACTCCTTTACGTCTTCTTGGATTATCATTTACTACTTTTCATGGAAACTATATATACAATCGATTGCTAAATTAGCATCTGCTGAGGTTCCTTCTTTTCATCAAGCTCACCATTTTCTCTCTCCTGATTCCATTCCCTACCTCTGTAAATCTTTTATTCGTCCCTGTATGGAATACTGTTATCATATTTGGACTGGTTCTTCTAATGATGCTCTTTCTCTTCAAGATAAGGTCCAAAAACGCATTTTAAACAGTTGGACCTGGTCTATCTGCTAAGCTTTCCCATCGTTGTAAGTTGTATCTCTTTCTCTTTTCTACAAATACTATCATGGTTGCTGCTGAAAGGATCTCTCATCTTTAGTTCCATCAACCAAAACTCATCATCGCTTGACTTGTTATTCATCAAAGTCTCATTCTTCAACTGTATCTGTTTCTTCATGCTCCAAAAACTTTTACTTGTCTAGCTTATTTCCATGCACTTCAACCCTTCCGAACTCTGTCCTATCTTCATGTTTTCCTGACTCATACAACCTTCAACTTTTTAAGTTTTCTATCAACCGTTTCATTGGAGTAAAAAAGAATTAAAAAAATATAGATAACAATGCTTAAATAGGTTACTTTTAAAGCTTTTGCCAGTAAACAAAGTCAAAATAAAAATTTATTTAAAAAATTCTAAGTAATGCACAAAGTTTAGTTTATTTATTATTTAATTATTATATTAATGCAGGATAAAAATATCAAAATGCCATCAGTTAGAAAATCAATAAGATTAAGATTATGCTGATGCCAATTAATCGGTACATCACTAGTGATTAGATTTATTGAGTTAGAACTCCAATGGCCTCTACAATGGGTAATTTGTTTTTAACATGCAAATGAGCTTCCACTTTATCATTTTTTTTTTGAATTGAATAGACCAACATCTCGTCCTAGATTCTATTCAGATTTTATTGGAAAATCCCTTGAAACTTGTGAGATCTTAAAGGTTGTTGATTTTCAACCTATAAACTTTAATGCCAGAGGTGGACAGAAAAGTGCTCATTACAGATCAGCTTTACCTTTTTGACACCTGCCAAGCTGTAATAAGTGGCACTTGTTCTTTCAGTCTGGAAAAGCACAGGAATGGAAAACTGGCTCATTCTAGATCGCTTACCACTGCTAACAGGATCCTCAGATTATAAATTTCTACCACCAGTCCTTCATCAAAATTAGTAACTATAGCAACATACATTATGCGTATTTATACCCCTATGTGGTTCATCATCAAGAAAGAGTCTTCTATTTTTCATGGCAGCAGGCATATATGCAGCACAACAGTCAAATCACAGTATCTAAAGTTATTCAAACAAATCCATTCTTTGGTCATCAAGAAAATATTCTTCTGGTAATGAGCAGCCACAAATCCAAGAGTCAGGTGTTAAGCGTATACAGAGAGCTAGAGAAGAAAGAATTATGAATGCTAATCAAACTAGTGTGCAGCAATTTAAAGTTCCGACTCTCAATTTTATGACAAAGAATACATGGGAGTTGATTGGAGTAATACACATCGGACAGAGCCACCACTCACAATGCAGCTCACTGATAAGAAACTGAAAGAAGCAAAAGAAAATCACATTCAACTAAGTAATCTTTTGGAAAAGTTGCCGTGCCACATGCCAGCTATAGAACGTTGTATAAATATGGTAACAGCTGTTTCTGCCTCATTTTGCGGTGAAATAAAAAGAGATGGTATGACACTTGTCTGCCTGCAATAAAGAAAAAGTATGCCAATATTTAACACCAAGGCACATTATAACACTATTTAGTAATATTTCTGCTTTATGTATGTTAATATTATGATTAAATTCACCTGTTCAACTCCTTTAAAATAACATATTAATAAACTAGAAATAATGATTTTGAAAGGAAGAGTACTACAAATAAATATTTGGAATAAAAAATTTAAAATATATAAAATTCTAAAAGTTTGCCTAGTTTGGCCAAAAATTGCTGTAGGGGGTAATTCTTGTCTGATTTTACTCATCTTAGTCTCATTTTTTTAGTTTTTTTTATAACTAATTTAGAAATTATTTATATTAACTATTAGTTAACACTAAATTACTAAAAATTTTAGTGTTAACTCAAATGTTTTAGTAGAAAATCTTGCAGCAAATTTATGATACAATCCTTGATGTTGGTGGACTGTGCAATGTACATATCACATCAAAGGTATGATATGTACATTGTACAGTCCACCTGTACATTGCTTGTTTATTGTATGACCAACATACAATAAACACCAAGCATACAAACATACAATAAAAACCAACAAGCTCTGTCTGACAAGAGAAAAAATAAAAAAGAACAGCAAAAAAACTGTGTGAAAAGCAGTACAAGCCGTACAATTAATAAAAGAGTTAATGGCCAAAAAAAAAATGGCCATGTATATATAAATAAATGTATATGTATAAATATATATATATATATACAGGCCTCGGCAAAAATGGCGGCTGATCACCCATGCCCGCTTCCATACCCATTTAAGTCAGTTTACATGGGTGAAATAAAGCTCGTGCAAATACGCAACTATTTTTTTTAACAGCAAAATTTAATGTTTTTTAGGTACAGCCACATTTTACTTGCATAAACAAAAATAGTAAAAAATATCTAGCACATTAAAAATAAAATATCTCTTTAATAAGAATTACATAATTATGCAATAAAAAAAGCAAAAAGTTGTGTTAAAAAAATTATTAAGAAGTATAAAAATTTGTTCATTTAAATTTAAAATAAGGTGACACAAAAACAATTTTAAAAGTATTGAACTCATTTATTCAAGTTTTAATTACTTAAGTCTTTTCTTAAAAATACGAAAATAATATATATATATATATATATATATATATATATATATATATATATATATATATATATATATATATATATATATATATATATATATATATATATATATATATATATATATATATATATATATATATATTTAAACATCTTTGCTTCCAACAAGGCTGCAAGCAACCACTAATTATTGATAATAGCATGATAAACCTTAGCACATGCTCATTTTGTAATGGATTTGATGGTTTCCAAGAAAAGTAGGATCAGGATTTGATATATGGTTTCCAAGAAAAGAAAGATCATGAGTAAGAGTTAATCTTAGAAAACAAAGAGTAGATAAGGGTAGTTGAGTACATTACCATTCATAAATATAGGAAAATTTAAATTGTTGTGATAACAATTAGCAGAAAAATTAAGTTTTATCTGAGTTAAAGTTTACCAGCCTTTGAGAGCCCCATGCTGTAGCTAAAGTGAGATCCTTTTCAAGCTCAAATTACCCTCAAAGCAATCAGAGAGTGTTGGGTTTTTATGAAGACAAGAATAAATGGTAGTATCATCAGTAAGGACCGACGAATATTCGTTAAAATTTGGATTTCAAAGTTTACTAAAAGGCAAATTTGAAAACATTTAAAAAGTATATATATATTTTAAATGTTTTCATTTAAAATATATATATATATATACTTTTTAAATGTTTTCAATAAAACAATTGAAAAGTATATATATATATATATATATATATATATATATATATATATATATATATATATATATATATATATATATATATATATATATATATATATATATATATATATTATATATATATATATATATATATATATATATATATATATATATATATATATATATATATATATATATATATGTATATATATATATATATATATATATATATATATATATATATATATACACTTTTTAAGCATTTTTTAATGAATATTATTTATATAACAACAATGAAAAGTTTAAAAAAAAAAAACTGTGGATTTTATTTTTTTTTAAGTTTGAGATTGAAACTGTTTTAAAATTTAAGGTCTATGCATATCTTAAAAGTAAGAGTTGGGATACTCGGGTTGCTGCAGCCCAAGCTATTGAAGCAATTGCAAATAGTGTACCAAAATGGAATCCAGAAGGAGTAAAAGTAAAAGAAGGTTAGATATTTTTTTTGTATGCAAATTTACAATAAACGTTATTATTTAACATTAAATAAAAAAAAAACAAAGGATCAATTTTTAAATATATAATGTATGTTATATTTTTTCATATCTTTAGTGATAAAAACCTTATTTAAACAACAATGAAAATAAACAAAATTACAAAGAACTTAAAAAATAAATAAGGATTAATGAACAAAACTTTAAAAATGATTCTAAAGGTTTTCTAGTGATGGTCAAATTGATGTATGATGATAAGACAATGTGACGGTCTTACACAAAGATCAGGAATACTGATTGTACTGGATAGAGTGAGTCAGGTGGTTTGACATGTAGAGCATAAAAATACAGAAGTTTGGGAATAGATGCATCTGAACATCTGTTTGTTTTTATTAATCATCCTTTATATAAAAAGTTTTTTCAATAGAAATGTTTCATATTTCTCTTTAGGCTTTCATTTCTCAGTGTAGTTCAAGCATCACAGATTACTTGCATCAAATATAACAATAATACTTGATAGAATGAGTTAGGTGGTTTGGAAATAAAGAGCTTAAAAATGAAGAACTTTGGGATGCTAAGGCTCTAAATGTTTGTAATTATTTATATCATGATTATAGTACCAAAAAATATTAAACATAAAAAACCATCATATATACTAACATCAAATCATTTCAATCTATTTTTTACACATTAATGATATCAAATACAATTAATTATTTAGAAATTTTTTAAATCTTGATTCTTATTATTAGGTTTCAATTCTCTGATTACTCTCTTATGTGGTTTTGTTTGGCTTTACTTGATCATCTTTCTCTTTTTTTTTATCCTTCTCTTTTTTTCCACACTGCTTATACTTTTTGATATTATTTTTAATTAAAACAACAAATCTCTTTCTCTGTATCCATTTTCTTATCAACCAATATTGTTGTTATTAAATTTAATACTTATCTTCCTAATCCTGTCTAATCTTCATAATCCTGTTTTTTTTTTTAACATCTTTGCTTCCAACAACACTGCAAGCAAGCACTATTAGAGTTGGAAGTTACTGAAAGAGAAAAGATGAAGACTATAGAGCAAGATAACGATTGACAGAGGATTTAAAAGGTAGCAAATTATATGAATCAAGAAAGCAAGATGAAGGAAGCGAATTCCAAAGAACTGATGTTCAAGGAAAAAAACTAGAGGAATTTAAGCGCTTAGGAACAGTCACAGTAAAAGGATGAGACTTAATTGAATGACTAGTAACACAAGAATCAATTTTTGTAGATGGCACAAAAGACGCTACTTCTTTAGAGCAGTATCCATTATAGAATTTGTAGAAAGGAGAAATAGAAAGGAAGCAACATGACGATGTGATAATGTTTAGAGGTTGCCTGCAAGAACAGGTCCAACTATGTTTATTATGCATTTTTGCACTGTGTCTAAAAGAGAAAGGGCATCATTAAAAGATCCGCCCCAGATATGGCAACAGTATTCCATTAAAGGCTGAATTTGAGATTTATAGAGATAAAAAATAGAATCCGGAGATAAAAAGTTTCGAACTCAAAAAAGAGATGCAACCTTAGCAGATCCTAATTTTGCAACTGATTTGATGTATGGTTTCTAAGAAAGAAAAAGTAAAGCTTTCTTAAAAACCATACATCAAATCAGTTGCAAAATTAGGATCTGCTAAGATTGCATCTCTTTTTTGAGTTCGGAAGTAAGAGTTAATCCTAGAAGATGAAAGTTAGATGACTCATTGAGTACATTACCATTCAAAAGTATAAGAAGATCTAAATTATTGCGATAAAAATTGGCTAAAAAAAATTAATTTTATCTAAATTAAAGTTCACCAGCCACTGTGAGCCTTATGCTGTAGCTAAAGTGAGATCTTTTTCAAGCTCAAGTGCCCCTTCCATACAATCAGAGAGTGTTAGCTTCTTATCAAGACAAGAATAAATGTTAGTATCATCAGCAAACAATGCAACTTTAGATGTAAGAATATCTAGAAGGTTGTTAATGTAAATTAAAAAGAGTATAGAACCAAGGATTGAACCTTGAGGAACTCCTGATGTTACATGATATGAAAAAGAGTGCTGTCCATTGAGGAAAACTTTTATTCTACGATTATTTTATTCTACACTACAACCAGAAAGGAATGATTCAATAATCTTAGAGATGTTACCTGATACACCATAAAAAGAAAGCTTATGGAAAAGGTCAGCATGCCAAACTTTATCAAAAGCTTTAGAAATGTTGAGACATTTATCTATCAACCTTTATCTAATATACAATAAAACTTATCTGTTATTACTGTTAGCAAATTGGCTGTAGAACGAGAAGATCGAAATCCATATTGATGATTAGAAAGTAAGTTATTAGATTCAACATGAGACATTAAGTGTTTGTTATTAAAGATTCAAAAGCCTTGCTTATGATAGGGAAGAAGACTAATGGGACATCACACTGAATAGCTTGGCTTTAGTGTCAAGGACTCTGCAGGCGTTAAGACCCAAAACTTTTGCCTTTCTCAATCTCTAACTCAAATAGTCAACTTTCCAACTTGCTTTCCAGGCAACCCGAATCATTTAATTTCTCTACTCGATTTATCTTATTTCTGATCCTAGTCAGTGAGAGCAGGACTTTCTCATTAAGTTTTTTCTTTAGTAAGTTTCAGACAATTTTTTTTTCAGACCATTTGCAGCTTATTAGGATTAACTACATGAGCACATAAGTATCTCAATCATGATACATATGCAATAATTTTTTTCTCCCAGTGATGTTTATTTTGATGCTTTATGAAATTTTAGCTTTCTTAAAATATTTTCTTTTGTTAAAGTGTATCATTACATATGTTTATATATAATCTCTATAAAACTTCAAAAGTATTTTGTATTTTAAAATAATCGAAAAAAATTAAAAAAAAAAAAGTTGCCAGTGTTAGGAATCAAACCTCATCTTACTTGTTCAGAAGCTTGGCTCCTTATCTACTTGGCCACACTGGCATATTCTCAAGTGAATATTTGTAAGGGAAACAATGTTATTGATCGAAATTAAGAAGAGCTTGATGCAATGCAATTTTCAAGTGAAAATCAAATGTAAAACTTGATAAATGTTTTAGTATGTTTTAACATTACTTATTTGAAAGTTTACATATGTCAGATATTTGGATATACGTTTGTTCACATTTTCTTATAAAACAAAGCTGCTGCAACTCTTTCTTGCCATTACCTCGCTTACAATGGCTGCCAAGGGTACCGTGTCAAACAGGCTCGAAACCGCACTACTACTAACACTATTAAGTTCAGTATTATTAATTATATATATATATATATATATATATATATATATATATATATATATATATATATATATATATATATATATATATATATATATATATATATATATATTTACATTATGTTAACATAGAAAACATAAAGTTTTTATAAATGTAATTACTATTATTTTAATTTTTGTTTTGTTTACTTCTTATTAAATTGCATTTCGATTGCATAGTGCTTAATAACCACTGCGTATAATAACAATGTGTAAAGTAACTTGTTTAATGATCTTTCTCATTTTTTTTGTTTAGTCAAAAAAATAATTAAATTTTTGTAGTTGTAACATAAATTATATATACTTGTAATATAAAAATGGAAAACTACATAACTAATACAGTTAAAAGAAAATTATATGAGATAATCTATTTAAATATTTGATATATATAATCTAAATAATATTTGAAAAAATTGCTGTTTGTTGGAGCTGTAATTAAAAAAGAGGAGAAATTAGTTGTCGATTGGCTCTAAGTTGCTTAAAACTTGGTCATACAAGAAGACAGGAAGAGTTGATAAAACAGTGGCTTAAATACAGATGCTAAGAAGTGACAATTTGTCACCTAAATTTAAAAATAACCATATTAGTAAACTTTAGATTAAAGAATTTTAAGTGTAAAACAGCTACATAGCATTAACAAAAGAAAATTGTAGCGTAAAATTATAAGAATAATTAGAGCAGCAACAACTGTTTCAACAGGTCAAATTGAGGATTTTTTTTAAAGAAAATATATGACTGTATAGAAAAAATATTTAGAGCAATAGACCAATGAAAAAGACTTTAATGAAGACTTTATGAAGACTTTATGAAGACTTTAATGAAGACTTTATGAAGACTTTAATGAAGAGTTTATGAATCTTTTCAAAACTTTAATGAAGACTTTAATGAATCTTGATAAAACTAGTTTTGAACCAAATTCAAGACTTTAAAAAGTTTTTCTAAAAAAGGGAGTTATAATGTATAATCTGCCGATTCTTCAAGAAAAAAAGAAAGTATCACTGTAACCTGTGTTTTTCTGCCAGTGGAGTGTTTTGATCTTAAATCATATTTTAAAATTTATTCATTCAAATGCAAGTTTAGTTCTTGTTGCAAAATTGGTGCAAATTTTTGTTTGACTCAAACACTTAATGGCAATCAAGAATCTTAACAGAACTGAGAAAAAAAATAAGTTGAGCAACTGGTGTTTATTTTATGAGAACCATAACAGTCATGTAAGCTACAAATTGTTTCATTGGTCCAAAATAAATGCTAGTGTCTCGTTTTCGAGACACTAGCATTTATCCAAAAGTACATACAGATCATTGTCTTGGAAGAAACATACCTAAAGAATTAAAAAAAAAAAATTTAAAAGTTAAGACGGAAAAGATAAAAAATGAACGAAAAATTATTCGTGCAGAGCAAAAAAAAAAGATAAAACTACAAAATAGCATGATTACCCTCCCGAACAATTCTTGAGTTTTATTTAGCTTATCTAATTTAAAAAATATTTTCATAACATTATTTAAAACTACATTTTTGTAATTATTTTTTGTTCATTGTAATTTAATAGCTATTATTACTGATAAAAATATTTGAATAGATACCTATTAATATTGATAAAAATATTTGAATACATACCTATTAATATTGATAAAAATATTTAAATACATACCTATTAATATTGATAAAAATATTTGAATACATGCCTATTAATATTGATAAAAATATTTGAATACATACCTATTAATATTGATAAAAATATTTGAATATGTGTAAAAAGTGTCTTTATGCCATTAAAATAATGGTTATTATTAAAAGTCTGGAAAGTTAAACGCACGATGACTGCATTTGTACCAAGTAGACTTTGTCTCCCTATAAATAGTAATTTACAGTTTGTATAGGTATAATTGAAATATAAATTGTATATTTTACCCTATAAATAATAATTTACAGTTTGAAAGGTATATTTGAAAAGATATAATTGAATATTGAACTTTGTCTTCCTATAAATAATAATTTACAGTTGTAAAGGTATATTTGAAAAACTATATTCAATCTCATTTACAGTTTGTAAAGATATAATTGAAAAACTGTTGTACTTAGAAGACGTGACGTACTAACAGTGTGTTACCCAGGAATATAATTTATACAGCGTTATCATAATATTGTGAATTTAGGTTGCTGTCAACTGGTGAGTTAAAAAAAAAAAAAAGGTTGTACATTACAAAAGTTTCTTGGCAAAACTTGTTGCGCCAATACTAAATGCAGAAAATTTAAAATTTAAAAATTTAAAATTTAAAAATTTATTTTCAACTTATGTTTCTTTCTTAGCAATCTTCTTAATCTTTTCATATTTATATCTTTTCTTATATTATATTATATTTTTCAAAAAAGTTTAAACGATTATTTACAACAACTGTGTATGGCTGTAAATATAGAATTCTTTCTTATTCATTTACTTTTTTATTGTAAGTGTAAAATTTTATTTTTTTAAAACCTTTTTTATATTTACACTGATATTTATATTTTTGCAACCTAATTTTATGATAAAACTTTTATCAATAATTTGTTTGTTTAAATTTTAAATTTCTTTGTTGTTTTATACTGTACCTTGAACGTCATCGGGGATAATAAAAAATAGTTATTTAAATCAAAAGGTCAATATATTTCTGATAAGCTTGGCTTGCCATGCGCAAGTAGGTGTAGAAATTTTTGTCATCTTATAATATCTAATGTACAAGATAATGATTATTAAAACCATTTCTAATGCTTGGCACTTGCTGTGCAAACAAAAAGCTTTAATTTTGCATCCAAATAAAAATTCAGTAAATTGCTACAAAAAAAATTGTAAAAACACAGCTGGAATACAAAGAAATCACTGTGAATATTCCGTGAAAAAAATTACAAACATTAAATATTGTTTGTAATCTCAAATAAAAATATCTAAACATGAGATTTTAGTTGTAAATTATCAATTTACAACGTAATTCTTATATTTTCATTTTTATATTTTAACTCATCAACAAAGTACTCTAACGTCAAAACACTCCTTTGAACCTTCTGTTGCAATCATCATTAAGCTTTCTAATGTGCTTTGGCTTAGCTGATTTCGAAGACGGTTTTTAACTATTTTTAATTTAAAAAAAAATCTTTCAATACAAGCTACACTCAAAGGAAATATAATGAGTAACTTAGTTAAAATCATACAATTAGCATAACACTTATCAAAACAGGGTCATTATCACTTTCCATAACTCTTGAGATGTAAAATTGTTTCTTGACTTAATTAAATTATTGACTAGCTATTGATCTTTTTCTTTGAATATATGTATATCGAAACTGTTTTCCCATTCTCGGCGTTTATTAATTAATATAATTTTGAAACTTTCAAATTTTTTTCATTTTTTGTCTCGGTTTCTGAGGTATCTGGAACTTGAATGTTTAATGCTCCAAATTTGCTACTGTTTTTTGATCTGCCATAGTGACTTATAAGTTGCTTTAGGCTTTCTTTACCATACTAGACAGTTGGCTAAGTGTTTTAGGCAATCGTCTTGGGTCAAAAATCGAAAGCAATTTTTTTTAGTTAAAGTAGTGAAAGTGTTTTGTCATGGCTGGTAACGAATAAGTTATTTCATTTTAATATAAAAAGTTTTAAATTAAATTTAGTAAATTAATTTTTTTTTATTTGTTTATTAAAATTTTTGATTTGTAAATTAAAAAAAAATGTATGTAAATATAGTATTCTTTTTTTATGTTTTACACAAATAATTTATAACATTTATAAGCACAAATGATTTATTAACTTAAAATGCTTACACTAAAATGCTTTACCAGCAAATTTAGTTTACTAACAGTGTTTTTAATTATATTTATAAAAAACTTTTTGTTCTTTTTTTTAAAGTAATTTCAAAATGACATTTATTTATTTCCTCCACAAAAATCATTTTTTTGAATAATTAATATACTAAGATCTTTGTTACTTTCCTAACTAAAGATAAACAGCATTTAAAGATAAACATTTGTTACTTTCCTAACTAAAGATAAACAGCATTTAAAGATAAACATTTGTTACTTTCCTAACTAAAGATAAACAACATTTAAAGATAAACATTTGTTACTTTCCTAACTAAAGATAAACAGCATTTAAAGATAAACATTTGTTACTTTCCTAACTAATAATAAACAGCATTTAAAGATAAACATTTGTTACTTTCCTAACTAAAGATAAACAGCATTTAAAGATAAACATTTGTTACTTTCCTAACTAAAGATAAACAGCATTTAAAGATAAACATTTGTTACTTTCCTAACTAAAGATAAACAGCATTTAAAGATAAACATTTGTTACTTTCCTAACTAAAGATAAACAGCATTTAAAGATAAACATTTGTTACTTTCCTAACTAAAGATAAACAGCATTTAAAGATAAACATTTGTTACTTTCCTAACTAAAGATAAACAGCATTTAAAGATAAACATTTGTTACTTTCCTAACTAAAGATAAACAGCATTTAAAGATAAACATTTGTTACTTTCCTAACTAAAGATAAACAGCATTTAAAGATAAACATTTGTTACTTTCCTAACTAAAGATAAACAGCATTTAAAGATAAACATTTGTTACTTTCCTAACTAAAGATAAACAGCATTTAAAGATAAACATTTGTTACTTTCCTAACTAAAGATAAACAGCATTTAAAGATAAACATTTGTTACTTTCCTAACTAAAGATAAACAGCATTTAAAGATAAACATTTGTTACTTTCCTAACTAAAGATAAACAGCATTTAAAGATAAACATTTGTTACTTTCCTAACTAAAGATAAACAGCATTTAAAGATAAACATTTGTTACTTTCCTAACTAAAGATAAACAGCATTTAAAGATAAACATTTGTTACTTTCCTAACTAAAGATAAACAGCATTTAAAGATAAACATTTGTTACTTTCCTAACTAAAGATAAACAGCATTTAAAGATAAACATTTGTTACTTTCCTAACTAAAGATAAACAGCATTTAAAGATAAACATTTGTTACTTTCCTAACTAAAGATAAACAGCATTTAAAGATAAACATTTGTTACTTTCCTAACTAAAGATAAACAACGTTTAAAGATAAACATTTGTTTAAAATCTTGTTATAATATAACAATATTGTGATATTTAAAATATTGTAAGTAAAAAGTCTGAAATAAAAATGATTTTTTAATGATTTTTTGAACTTTTGGGAAATTTAAAAAAATTGGAAATTCCGTGTTATACATGGTGCCATCAGGCTTGTTAACACCCTGACTAAGTGCATTGTTTTTTAAAATTGTCTGTAATCAAAAAAAAAAAAAAAAATTGATTCGTTTACAAGTAAAGTAAACAAAAATTTTTTTAAAGTCAAATGATTTTTACTGCTGAAGATTAAGTTATAAAGTGAAATATTTTATTGAATTATATCACTGTTGTTAAAAAATAAAAAATTATAGATTAGACTCTTAATTAGTTTTATAATATATAGCAATTCATTAATTAAAAGAATTAGTAATTAAAATGTTCTGAAAGTTTTTCTGGTTGAAAAAGCAAATACAGCCATTTTATAAATCATTTATCCTATTATTATATTCTTATTCTTAACTTATTTATTGACTTTGAAATAAATATATTGATATATAAGTATTTTATTTTCATTTTATTTTTAACTTAGGAATAACCAGATTTTTTTCAATAAAATAAATTTTTCTAAACAATTTTTTTTTACTTGTTTAAAAACGTAATAAAAATTTTGAATAGTTGCAAATTTTATTATATTTATTCATAATATATTATATTAAAATATTTATTTTTAGAGGATGATCTTTTCATTCATAAAGCTAGTAGTAAATTGTTGTTTGAGCAGTTTGATATATCAGTTGTTTTGGAAAAAGGAGAAAAATTATTAGGTTCTTCAGGAAATGAGTTTGATGATGAAGAGAGCACTACTACTGGTATAAGATGCAATAATTTTTAAATGTTTTTTTATATTTTTATTTATATATTTATATATTCTAAATGTTACTAAGCTTTGAAGCCATCTTTGAAAGGTGGAAAATTCTGATAGTATTTAAAAAATTGCGGTTTAAAATTATTGAAAATTATTTTTCAATAATTTATAACAAAGTTTCACAATTTGTTACAAAGATCTAAATTTAGAATGCAGTGCATTCTATTAAATTTGAGAATTTTTAACAATTTTGTTTTAGTATTTAAAAGTTAAGCTAAACATTTATTAAAATTGATAATTACTAAAAATTTATTAAAATTATAGTTTTGATAAATTTATTAAAAATTTGTTAAAATTAATAATTATTAAAAGTTTATTAAAACTAATAATTTTAATAAATTTATTAAAATTATTAGTTTTTATCAAGCAATTTTAATATCTTAAAAAACAAACTTAATAAATAGTATATGCCTCTATAATTGTATTTAAATTTTAATTTAGGAATGTCTCGGTCAGATGCGATTGCATTTCAGAGACATGCACTTAAAAAAAAACTTGGTTTGGATCTTGTCGGTGGTTTAGACATAGGTGTTGAAAACTTGTTAGATGATGATGAACTTGTCTCCAATGTGAAATCTGAACCAATTTCAGTTAAATCTACTGAGGTAAAAAATATCCTATAATATTGTATCTTATAATTATGTTTTAATTACTGAGGTAAAAAATATAGTTGTAATTAAAATAGAATTTTATAAATTTTTTACTATTATTAGCTGTGTTATTAACATTTTAAGAATTATATAAAACACAGGTTTAAGAAAATTTAACTGAAGTGGTTTGACTTGCTTATCCAGCTTTTTATTTAACTGGACATGTTTTGGCTTGTTTAACTAACTTTTTATTTAGCTAAATTTGGTTTGACTTGTTTAAGCAACTTTTTAATTAACTAAATTTGGTTTAAGTAGTTAACAGATTTGTTATTTAACTTAGATAGTATGACATCTTTCCAAACTTTTCATTTAACTAAGGTGGTTTTACTTGTTACCCAACTTTCTAAAACCTCTTTCATTTCATAAAATATACATGAAAATAAATTTCAAATCATTTTTCAATTCAGTTATTTTGTTTGCTTGCCATTATTTTTCTGATCTCTATGTTTAATTAAAGACCAGAAAATGATATTTTAATTGTAATAAAATAATCTCATTTTTAAAACAGGTTTTTCCTATATAAATTTTTTTTTTTTGCAATAAAATACTTCTTTGAATTTAAGTATATTTGTTTTATAACTAAATTTGTTATTTTTGTATGGTTTGAAATAAAATAAAATTGGACAAAAATTTTGAGAACTTTTTTTTAATTTTTAAATTTAAATACTTTAAATATTCATCGCCTTTTTGCCACTATAGATTGCAAAAAAATATTATAAAAACACTTATAGATTATTTCTTTTACATAAAGTATGTACTTTTTATTTTATTTGCTGATGTTATGCACTTTTTATAGTTTTTATCATTATTTTTTTTTTTATAATTCTCCATAGTTATCTACTTTTTATAATGTTCAAAGTTCTACATAAAATAAAAATATTTTTTTATTGCAGAGCGCTGTTGAAATTGTTGCTTCTCAAATTGCTGCTATTACATCTGATGGTCAAATGAGTTCTCGTGAAAAAAATAGAGCTAAACGTTTGGCAAAAAGTATTGCCAAACAGAGATCTAGAGATTTGGATTTAAAAAAGTATGTTATGGTTTATTTATAAATTGAATGTTAGCTTAAATGGTTTTCAGAAATCCATTTTTTGGTAACATTTTTCTTATTCTAAATAAGTTGACTAATGGTTGTTTTTTTGGTTTTAGTCTTTTTGGCCAAAGAAACACAGGGCCTTTGTTTTTTGAAGAATTTGCTATTTTTTTATTTTCAATTCTAAAATAGTTTAAAATTATTATATAATATTAAGAGTTTTTTTATTGCAGAATATTTTTTATTGCAAAATATTGAAACTTTGTTTCAATATTTTCTTATAAGTTTTTCAATGTTTTATTAAATAGTGTCAATAATTCTTCTTCTAATGCCTTATTTTATTCTGAAAATAAAAAAAAGTAACGAAAATTGCTGTATTTTTCTTACAAAACATGATGAAGTGTATAAGTAACGAAAGTTGTCTAATTTCTTCTAATTTTTTTTTTTAAACTATTTTCTTTAATATTTTCTATAATCCATATACTTTTAAACTAAGAACAAATGTGTATTTAATGGAAATTAAGTAAAGATTTTTGTTTTATGAATGAGAAAACACTACATTGTAAATATTAAAAGTATTAAAATCTGTTAAAAACTGTTAAAAACAAAAGCTTAGTAATGGTGGTATAATATATTTTTAAAATGCTTAAAAGTTTCAGTTTATCATAAGTTACACATTCAGCAGTAAAGTCGAAATTACAATTGTTTTAATTATACTAAACTAATAATTGTAAAATGAGAGTTTTAAAATGTAGTAAGCATTAACTAAGCAGATTTTTATTTAAATCATATTACTGGGGCAAGGATCCAAAAAGCATGTATACAACTCAATCGCTTGAACTCAGATTCTATTATCCATGTTATGAATTCTGATTTATTCTTTTTGAAAAGTTTTGGAGTATTTAAAACAATTTTCCTGGGTTTTTTAAATATTTCTTAAAAATACTAAAAAAAGATTTTGCTTTGTTTCATTATTTATAATTATAAACTTTTTTTTTATAATTTAATGTACTTATTTTAATATACTTTATTATAAACTTTCTTATTAACATTTTATTGTAAATTATATTATAAGCATTTTTGAATAAAATTTAAAAAATATAAATTTTTTTAGTTTTTGAATGTTCCATTTTTTATAATTATAAACTATTTATTATAATTTAATATACTTATTTTAATATACTTTATTATAAACTTTGTTGTATACAAAGTTTATAATAAAGTTTTTAAAAACTTTATTTATTCGAGTATTTATTTGTATTACATTACATATTTATTACATTATATATATTTATTATCTTATAGATGTAATATATATAATATGTAATATATGTTATTATTTCATATATATATATATATGAAATAAATATATATATATATATATATATATATATATATATATATATATATATATATATATATATATATATATATATATATATATATTTTTTTTTTTTGAAAAAATTCTTTTTTCAAAAATAAAAAAAATGTTATATATATGTAAATTTTTTAAAGCAACTTTTTAGAATGTAAATTTTATTTACATTCTAAAAAGTTGCTTTAAAAAGTTACTTTTAAATTTTTAATCAAATTTGTTAAAAATGTTTGTTATAATTATTGTACAATAGTCAGAAAAACGTTTTAAGCAAAGTTTTAAATTTATAAAATTATAGTTTTGATGATTCTGCTCCGCCTGCAGAAAAAAAAGTGAGGCGCACACAAAGTGTTGTTGTTGATCAGCCAATTGAAGATAAAGTGTTGATCGATAATGTTGTAGATAACAGCCTTGAAGAGGTGAATTTTTTTTTTGCTGTTGTTGTGTTTTAGTAATTTCTAGACATTTTGAGTAGTTTTGTTTTAGTTAGATCACTGGCCATTTGAATAGATTTATTTTAGCTAGATCATTGGCCGTTTGAAGAATTTTGTACTGAACTATGCAGTGAACTTTTTAATCCATCATGGGAAATTCGACATGGTGCCTCTTCTGGTCTGAGAGAAATTATTAAAGTTCATGGAGATGGAGCTGGAAAAACTAAAAACATGTCTGTAGAAAAGGTGAATAATAATATTGATAATGAAAGTATGTAGTTAAATCAAAACATGTAGTTGATTTATTGAGACTTAAAAATTAACTCATGATAATATTTTTTAAAATTGTCATAATGAACGACATCCTAACAAGTATTCAACAATAATCAATGATGCTGGAACATTAATTGACATTTGAATACTGCTGGTTGTATGATTGTACTGTACTGATTTATTTGTAAGGTCACTAAAATTTGAGAAATCTTTTGTTATTAATTAACACTTTTCCAATTAAATAGTGATGACAAAATTTTAAATTAAAATGAATTATAAGCTTTATAAGCATTATAAGCTCTTTTTTTTTGCTCAGATGACATATTTTAATATCAAAATTAATAACATATTTTAATATCACAATTAATGTATTATTTTGTTTATTGTTTTTAGATGTCTATTGCAAATACAGAATGGCTTGAAGATACATCTTTGAAGTTACTTTGTGTATTTGCATTAGATAGATTTGGAGATTTTATTTCAGATGAGGTATTTTCTTTAAAGTTTTTATATCAATATAAAAAACTTTTACAAATCATTATAAAAGGTGATTAGTGATTTTTCCATTTAAAAAACTCTGAAAATAGTTTATGACAGATAGAACTTCTAATCTTTTATTTTTGAAATATTTGCACAAAAATGTTTCAGGTAGTAGCACCTGTCCACGAGACTTGTGCTCAAACATTAGGTTCTACTCTGCATCATATGACATGTGAAAGTGTGAGAAAGGTTCTGACTATTTTGGTTCAACTTCAGCAAAATAACGAATGGCAGGTTCGACACGGAGGTTTACTTGGTTTAAAATATATGTTAGCTGTTAGAAAGGTATTTGTTGTGTTTTTTAAATAAGAATACTTTTATTTTTAACTTGATTTTGTTTTCATACAGATCCATCACTATCAACATCAATCTTCATAAATCATCAATCAAACATCAATCTTCATTGCATTATTGTTATCATCACTGTATAAATCATTTTGTACATGTTCTATATAACAACCTAAACAGTAATCATATTATAAAGTTCATTTTTTCCTGTATAAAATTTTGATATGACCTAAGCAACTGAAAATCTCTGTATAGAATTGTCTACTAAGTACGATGCGATTATACACACACTCATGAATAGACTCAATATTGCTGAAGAACAGATTACTAAACTGAATCTAGAACTTCACACTCTTAAAACAACTCCATCACCTACTGCAGCTGGAAACACCATTACTTGGAACATTGTAGTTGTCAAGGGGTTAAAAAAAACACCAAAAGACCAAGAACAAATGAATATTATCAACACCCTCTCGAATCAAAACAACAAGAAAACAGAGCTAAGAACATAAGTTTACGTGGTGCCCAAAATCTTCCAGCACCAATCCATCAATTGCAAAAGCTCAGGACAAAACTGAAGTAGAAAAAATATTTTCATTATTGAGGACAGACAAGTCTTTAATTGTAAATCACATCCGCCTCAAACCCAATGTAAGGACCCCTGAACTACCTAGTCCAATAGTAGTAATCTTTACGGATGAATCAACTTGAAACAGAGTACTTAAACAAGTCTCCACCTTTTTTCACGTAACCAATAACAGAGTAGATCACAGTTCCCTATTCATCAACCCTGATATGACTTTAAATTAACAAAACCAGGCTTACCTCCTCAGAACTGAATGCAAAAAACGTAACGCTGCTCTTAGTCAAACCGCTACAACCATCAATGTTGTTCAAGATAACACATTAAAGAAATAACTAGACATCATTAGCCGTGAATGTCTATCAAAAACCAACTAGCAACACCTCCAACAACAAATTTATCAATCTAGAATCTTCCAATAAAACGTTCCATCCCACCTATATAAATCATTGTTAAAACTTTAAAACATAATTCTACAGAAGAAAATGTAAATGGACGGCTAAATAAAATCATTAATTGTGCATACTTCAACGCAAGATCACTTAACAATAAACTAAATCATTTACATAATCTTCTCTGAAACGGCAATCTTGATGTTATTCTCATCACGGAAAGCTGGCTTAGCAACAAAACTCCAGACTCGCTACTGTTAAATGGAAATGGTTTCCAAATATTTTGACGTGATCATAATGGCAATGGTGGTGGCTCACTCATATTAGTGCAAAGTAATATCCGTTCTGTACAAATTAATTTTGATGTTCCTGAAGAACTTGTAGATACTAAAATTACTTGTGTAGACATGTGTCTCCTCTAGTCTTGAAAAGTTACAATTTCATGCATTTACCATCCCCCGTGTGCAGCCTCATGTTTTTTGAAAACCAAAGCCTTATGCAAGATGCTATGTAAAATTTCATCAACTTGTAATCATACTTATATTGTATCAGGCAATTTTAATCTACCGATTATTGATTGGTCAATACCTATTAGCCTAGGCAATTCTTGTCATGACTTGTTCATAGAAACTTGTAAGGTGAACGCCCTAACCCAGCTGGTATCAAACAGTACCTGATTAAACAACATTTTGGATCTTATATTAACCAATGATAAAATCAATGTAAGCAATGTAGTAACTACAGCCCCTTTCACAGGTACCTGCTACCATTGTACCATTCTCTTTAATAGCTATTTGGGAACTTTAATTAGCAGTAAAAAACCATCATTTCCAATTTCATATATTTTTCATATAGGCCAATTATAATAATATCAACAAAGATTTAAATTATGTAAATTGGTACAAATTAGCTGAGCAATATCATAATGTTGAATCATTCTGGCATGCTATATGTAACATTTTGAACTCAAGCATTTTATCGCACGTAACAGCACTCCATAAAAAAAGATACAGTATTCAACCTCACACACTTCGAAATTTGGCATCTAAAGAACATAATTTATACCAAAAGTATTATTTAATTTTAATTAAATAATACTTTTATCAAATACAAGAATCGCTCACATCTATATGATGCCAAAATAATAAAAAACGCTAATAATAAGGAGAAAGATATTGTCAATAAAGTAAATATCAACAAATTTTACTCTTTTATTAGTTCAAAATCCAAGCATCACCATTTTGTTGCACCACTTGCAATTTCTGATGGTTCTCTTTGTTTAGACAATTAAAAAAAAACATGTACTTTGAATGACGTTTTTGCCTCTGTCTTCATCACTGACAACGGTGTTAGTCCGTTAGATTTTCCATCCCATCAAAAAATTTTGAGTAATGTATTATTTCCATATGATTCTGTTATTTCATTACTACAAAAACTCCCAAGAAAGTTTTCCAAATTATAGTTGCAATTGATTTTAAAAATATTGGAGGTTATCCTCCAATATTTTTAAAATCAATTGGAACTACTATTGCCATTCCTCTTTCTATTTTGTTCGAAATGTCAATGACCACTATTACTATACCAATGAAAATTTGAATTGCCTTTCTTAAATATTGGACATAATTTGTCCAATATTTAATAAAGGCAATCCTTCTCTACCAAACAACTACAGACCTATTTCAATGACCTGTATCGTTTGCAAAGTTATGGAATCAATCATTGCTAAAACCATAAAAAACTATCTGTTAGAAAATAACTCTTTTTCTCAACATCAGTTGGGTTTTATAAATTGCGGATCCACATGTTCACAAATACTGGCAACTTTAAATTAATGGACCACTGCTGTAAATAACAAAAAAATATTTGACATCATCTATATTGATAAAAGTTTTTGAATCAGTAACTCATCCTAAACTAATGTTCAAATTGCAATACTATGTAATTAATTACGAACTATTTAATTGGATTAAAAATTTTGTAACTAATTACCTTCAATGTGTGTATGTTGGTACCTCATATTCTTAAAACACTCCAGTTTAAAATGGAATACCACAAGGAACTGTACTAAGAACTATATTGTTCTTAATATTTATTAAGGATATAGTTTATTGCAGTGATGGAGATTGTGGCATTAAGCTTTTTGCAGATGATATTAAGTTGTATCATTCGAAAAATGATTGCAACAACATTGATCTTGTAAACACTTAAAAAAAAATCTTGGCATGGTCCAATGATTGGCAACTAAAAATAGCAACCAACAAATGTTTTCATTTATGCTACGGAAGATATTATATACCTACTCATCCTTATTTATTAAACTCTGTTATCAATATTGAAAGATTGTTTATTTAATTCAGGATATTGGAATCACCATGTCTTTCGATACAAAGTTCTCTAATTAGTACTTTTGTATTTCAAGCATAGTATAGTACATGCATACTCTTACATTTACTTTTAAAATCCTTCATCTCTAACAATTCTCAACTTTAGTTAAAAGCTTACAAAGTTTAAGTTTATTATATTATCAAGACTTATTGTTTTCCAACTAGAATCTCTTAATTATTGCAGAGTTAAATTTGATCTTTATATGACTTATAAAATTGAAAATAATCTCATTGATATACTTTTTGATTTAATTTTCAGATTTTTTTACTTTTTCCAATTCGAAATATTTTACTAGAAGTCATTCACAAAAGTTTACTTCACATAATAAATACATTTGTAATACTAGAAGATTTTTTACAGTGAAAGAATCATTAAAGTATGGAACTCACTTCCTGACCACATAATGAACTCGCCCTCACTGTCAGCATTCAATCGAATTTAAAAAAGTATGATTTAAACGCAGTCTACTAACTTGGTTTTTTCACATTTACTCATACTGAATTTTTTTTCTTTTCACTTCACTTCAAAAAATGATTAAAAAAATAAAATAAAAAACTTCAACAAGCTATGTGCTTGATTAATATTTCATTGGCAATCATCTTATAACAAATAAAACCATAACAAATATCTATATTATACAAATGTTGTTCCTATAGAAAGTTATGCATGATTTTCTTATAACAAATGACCAATTAGCGTCACAATATAATTACAATTGTAAATAATTGTATATATATAGGGTGACATAATATCTAGGAAATACAGATTGTATTTAAGTTATGTTTAATTTTGCTAAGAAACATCAGCGTTTACGCATAATTAAAGACTATTGTTTTTAATATAAAACTACAATATCATTTACATTTAAAGAATATTAAAAATTAAAATTTTGAATGCTTAAGAAGTTTTAAATTTGAAAAAAATTAGTTAACAGATATTAGATACATTTAACAAATATCAGATTCGAATACATGTGGAGAAAACCGCTGATTTTTTTATTTGGTTTTTCTGTTTCAGGAATCCTAATTGCAAGTATCTTATGTTTCTAGGACATGGCTGTTGAACTTTTACCTCAAATATTTCCATGGATTTTAAAAGGACTTCAAGATAAAGATGATGATGTCAGAGCAGTAGCAGCATCTGCATTGCTTCCTGTTAGTGATTTATTTCAAACTCACTTTCCCGAAAAGGTAAAATTTTAACTCAGATAAATTTTTTATTGCAAATATTTAATTACTTTTTGATGGTATTTTAATTAGCTGAAATGAAAAAATTAAAAAGATGATTTATTTTTAGGCTGATATTAAAAGATTAATATGATTAATTTAATAATTATCATTATTAAAGATATTTTTTATGCATAAATTTTTTTTTTTTAATATGCTTTTTCACTTTTTGTTTTAGTGCAATATGTTTGTGTTAGTGCAATATATTTGTTTTAGTGCAATATATTTGTTTTAGTGCAATATGTTTGTTTTAGTGCAATATATTTGTTTTAGTCCAATATATTTGTGTTAGTGCAATATATTTGTGTTAGTGCAATATATTTGTTTTAGTGCAATATATTTGTTTTAGTGCAATATATTTGTGTTAGTGCAATATATTTGTTTTAGTGCAATATATTAAAATCAAATATAGTTAAACTAAAGCCAAACTTTCATCTTGAGCTTTTATCTTGTCTATAATGTAGCAATAAAACAGGAACTAATTGTTAATTATTCATATATCATCTTAAAAATTAAATATTCATATATCATCTTAAACTGTATTAAATTATGAACATTTTAAGTACTTGTTAAAATTTTTTAAGTGTGCATTAGAAACCTTATTTAGAATGTGTGAAAATGTAACAACAAGGCTTCAATCAACCACTATTTAAGTTGTGAGTTAATAGAAAAGGAGTTAAAAATAAAGAAAATTGTTGATAGAAGAAAAAAACTAATTTATATGCATCAGAAAAGAATGAAGTTGGATTTTACAGTTTAAGAAAAAATTTGAGAAAAAACTGATTAAAAGATTTTTTTTTAAAGACGCGAGGAAACAGTTAAAATATGACTTTGCTGAATCTATGAAAAATGACAAGTCATGCAAGATTGAGTTTTTGTTGTTGGAGCAAGAGATCAAGTCAACAAAGGCAGTATTTGTATAAGAAAGAAAGAGATACAGCCTTACAATGACTGAATCTAGGCAGCTAGAACAAGTCTAACTACATAAATTATATATATATTTTTTTACCAATGACTTACAGCGGAGTGCTGTTACACCGATTGAGGGTTTGGCATAGGGCTGCAATCTTTTCTTTCTTTATTCTTCATTTTTTTCTTCTTTTTCTAAAAATGCATATTTAATTAAAGTAACAAAAATATGGTAACATTTTTTTACATAAGTATGCTACAGTAAAAAATTAATTGTAGCATTTTTTGTTCATTTACACAAAGTGCCTTTATTTAAACAATCATTATAATTAATTTTTATTTTATTTAAAGCCTTCATGTAAAATAAAAACTTTAGAAAGGATCAACAATTAAAAGTTATTTATAATGTATCAAATACATTTACAATCCATTTTAAAACCTTACCTCAAGAAAAAAAGCATTATTAAATGAACCAGTTCAGATATGACAACAGTGTTTCATACAAAAACAAATAAGTAAATTACAAAAGTAGATGATGGAATTATGAGTAAAACAATGATGAGTACAATAAAGGAAAGCAATATTGGCAGATTCTAACTTTGTAATGGATTAGATTTATGGTTTCCATGAGAGGTCAGTGGGCAAATATAGTCTAAGAAAATGCAGTGGACTAAGTGAAAGTGTTGACATTTATCAATATAAGAAAATCAAAATTGTTGCGATATTTATAAGCAGTATCAACTGAGTTTTGTTTACTGCTGATTAGTTAACAAGCAAATTAGCTGAAGAGAGATTGAAGAGAGATAACATTCTTTAAAGTGATCAAAAAGTGACAACTTTTCTGTCAAAAAATATTTATATAGTTCTTTTTTAATCACCTCCCCAAAGCTGAGAAGGTAATTGAGGAGACTACTACAATTGAGGAGACCACTACCATCAAGGTGATTTTAATTGTGGTTACAACCCTTTCTCAACTCTTTAACTCCGTAGCATGAACCTTGACAAACAAGGCCACTGCATGGTGAGAAAAATTGAGTCATTAATATATTAGAGTCACCTTAAAGGTAAATTTATCTTGAAGATCATCATTATAGATGAAAAACAACTTATGACCTAAAATAGAAAGTTGTAATATCCCAGAAGTTACTGGAAATGAGTGTTGTCTGTCAAAGATAACTTTGATAATGGGGTTACAAGAGAGCTTATGGAGAAAACCAGCAAGGCCTACATTATTGAAAGTGTTTGATGTCAAAAATAGCAGCCCTTGCCTTTATGCTTCTGTCCAATCAAGCAGTGGGAAAAGAGAATATAATTATTTATTGTCAGTTGATTGTCAAAGTACGTTGTTAGACTCAAGATTAATAATTAAAAGTTTATTAATTAAAGAAATCTTACTAATAATAGTAAGAAAAGTTAGATGAAAGCTATTTCTAGAGATTTATTAAAATTTTTCAGCATACAGAAAAATAAGATTTAGTTAAGTACTTGTTAAATAGTTCAGGAAACTAAGTTTTAAAGAACATTATAAAAATGTAACATGAATTTTTTCCAGACCATAAACTGGGAAAATTTCAAGTGATTATAATCTTTAGCAATGGATCCCATGGTGATTTGGATGTCTAACAATCGATTAACTTACTTCTCTGGGTTGACAAGTATAGTGTTATTATTTGATATTAATTAAAGGAAAAGTTCTTGTTTTGCTTTCATAAATTTCTTGCAATGATGAAAAGCTTCGTGAAAAAATATGGAAAAAGTGATTCATATGTTTTTCTGTAGTTATTTTTTACATTAAAGTGTTTTTTTAGCAAATTAAAACAAATTTTAGTGTCTTTCTGATATACTTTATTGATTGAAAAGTTTAAGTGTCTTGATGATTTAATATTTGATTGAATCATTTAACATGAATTTAAGAATGAGTGGTACATATATATTCAAATAAAAAGAGCTTGATTTATCTTGGTTAAAAGATTTTCAAAATTATCCACAAATTGGAGAGTGCTTACAACATATGCAACATAGCAACATATGCAACATAGCTGTGTAGCTGTATCACCAATTTGTTTATACTCAGATCCACTTTATAGTAAAAACTCAAATATTTTGAAGCTGCATTGCAGAATTTTTAAAAATCACATTTCATTTTTAACCTTATTTTAACTATATTTATTGATAATAAATTTTATTAAAAAGTATTTTAGATTCCAGTTCTTCAAATATAACTAATATTTTTTTTAGGTTCCAGTACTTCTTCAAATTTTATGGGATATACTTCTTGAACTTGATGATTTAACAGCATCAACAAATAGTGTTATGAGTCTACTTTCTTCGCTTGTTAAAGTTAAAGAGGAAACAAATGACTTTTTTAGTGGTCATCTAACTGATTTTGTTCCAAGATTATGGCCATTCTTAAAGCATAATATTTCCTCAGTTCGTTTGTCATCTTTATCCACATTGAGTATTCTAATATCAAATGCAAAGGTTTAAAATATTTTATTGCATTTTTGGGTATAACATTTTAAAAATTATTTTATCTATTTTTTAATATCAATAACAATTAGGATAAAAGTTGGTTACAAAAAATACTAGGCGACTTATTGAAGCAACTTTATATGAGAATTATTCTTGAACTAAATGAAATTATACGTGAAACTGTTTTGGAGGTAATTTTTATATAGTTTTATATATTTTATTTTTAAATTGTTTTAGTTTATAGTACATGAAAGCATTTTTTTTCCAAAAGGTTTTTTATAAAGTACAAATGAATAAATGTGTGTACTTGTATAAAACACCATTGCAGGTTTGTATCTTATGGTCGTCTGTGATACTGGCTGACTCATTTTTACAAAAAGTAACTGAAAATCTATAAAAAAACACCAATCAATAACCCATGTTCAATAAGAAAACCATATTTAAAACTATGAATATTTTTTTAGAAAAGTTATATTTGAATTTTAAATTTTGAATCACATAAATTATTAATGATGCCTAAACTTTAGTTTGACATAGTTATAAAATAAATTTTTGTTTAAACTTTATCAAACAAAAGGTTAAACATTAATGATGCATGTGGAAATTTTTTTCTAAAAAAAAGAAGTAATTTAAATTAAAAACTGTTTAACTAGCTTATATCATAGCTAGCTTATATTATTAATATATTATTAAATATATAATATATATATATATATATATATATATATATATATATATATATATATATATATATATATATATATATATATATATACATATACAGATACAGGCCTTCTCAGGAAAGGCGTGCGGTCGCACGCCTTGAATGACCACGCATATATATTTTTTTGTTGATAACATGGCCACAATTTTTTTTGCATTTATTAAAAATGGCGCAACTCAAAAACTCGCTGAAAAAACAAAATTAATTGCTCATCTTTTTTTAATTATTATTAATAATTCATTATTATAGTTATTAATGAGAAAATAAAAACATTAAAATAATATATATGGGGAATTTCATTTTTAACTTACGTTACACGTGCAACAACTTTACCAAATATTAGCTTATTTAATCTTTTAAATTAAACTTAAAGCAATTTTGTATGAAAGCTGTTAGTCTAATAAATAAAATAAGCTTAAAAGTTTTGAGTTCGGCCAAAAGAAAGCAAACTTATTACTAAAAATGCCACTTGTACTTATGTTACACAGAAAACAAGGTAAAAAAACAAATTCAACTTATAGGTCTCATTTCTGCAAATCAGTAAAGCAGTTTGTATTAGAAACTTTTACAAAATGCAGATAATTCTATACCAATTTAAAATTTTTATAAAAACTTTTTTTAAATAAACTTGTTTTTTTGACACTGTATTTTTTTACTTAAATTACATCACTTACATTATCGAGCGGTTATCATAATTTTTTTTATCTATTATTAAGAGTTAGAGTTACGTAACAAAAGAATTGCATAAGTATTAAACTCATTCATTAAAAATAATTAACAAAGAAATTTTTTAAAAACTGATGGCACTCTTACTGAGTGATTTTTCATAACATTCATGAAAGTTATCAAATCGAAAACAGTTTTTTTGCAAGACCAAGAGCAACTTCAGAAAAATATTTTAGTTTTACATCTTTATTATTACTTAATTGAGTAATTGGTTTGACGAAGTTTTTATTTACACTTCTTACGTTTATGCGTATTGCTTTATTTTTATAAGATTGAATTTTTATAATGCTGCTAAGTTAATTTTTTAAATATTTAAATCTTTTCTAAACATCTATATGTCAACCAAAATAATAGTACATAAACAAACAAACAAAAAAACAATAAAATAAATAATTTTAATACATATAAAAAAAAAGTTATTTTTTTAAATTCTCCTTATATAAAAAGTTTCAGTTAAAACCTTGTCAAGCCAACAGAAAGAAATAATAATTACTTAATGACGTAATCCATTTAGTAAACAAAAACTTAACGAAAAATCGCCAGAATTTTATTAAATGCATGAAAACAAATAAAAAAAAATATATATATTATTTTAATCTTTTTATTTTATCATTAATTACAAATATATATATATATGTGCATTATTGTTGGGTTTTTATTTTTTCATAAATAATTATAATAATAAATTATTATTAATAAAAAAAAACCAATAAGATGACTAATTAGTTTGATTTTTTCAGCGCGTTTTTAAAATGCATCATTTTTTATAAATGCAAAAAAAATCGTGGCCATGTTATCAACAAAAAAATATATATGCATGGTCATTCAGGGCGTGCGACCGCATGCCTCTCCTGAGAAGGCCTGATATATATATATATATATATATATATATATATATATATATATATATATATATATATATATATATATATATATATATATATATATATATATATATATATATGGGCAATTCCACGCAAGTGACGGCCGTAACATTTGACACTTTTTTAGTTATTAAAAGTCAAATAAGAATGATATTGATTTGAAATTTTCCAAAAATGTTAAATACTATTATAAAATTTAGTATACAAAATTTAAAGTATTCAAATCTTCAACTTATCTGAAAAATCGTCTTAACGTAGCGTGACGGTCGTAACGCTTACTTTTTGACAATTCTAAACAAATTGGCTTTGACAATCTTTATGCAGTCATCTACGCAGTGAAAAAAAAAATCCTTTGCTGTGTGAATTCACTACATATTAATTTTGCTATAGGCTAAGTTTTATAGTTTTTGCTTAATGTTTTACAAGAATTTTATTATATTTTTTGTCGTGACGGTTGTAACAAAAATGCCAATAATGAAAAACAACTGAATGCGTGAAAAATAACTGAATGCGAACAACTGAATAGTGAAAAACAACTGAATGAAAACAACTGAATGAAAAACAAAAAAATGGCGCATTTATTGAATTCATTGCAATGAATGGCATAAAAAAGGTGAGTGATTATAAAAACCAAGTAAGTTATGTTAAAATATACATTTTATAACATTATCACTGGGATAATATTACATTTATAATGGGTATAGTGATCCGGGTATGACGATGACTGGGTATGATAATGATGACTGGGTATGATCATATTACTTTTATTTGGTTTAAGCAAAAAATGCTTAATGCCCTTTTATTCTCCTGTATACTATGACTATGGTTTAAATAAAAAAATTGTTTTTTACTTGATTTAAATAATATAATCGTTTGCGCTTAAACTTTATATAAAGTCAAGAAGCCGTTTTGGATAAACAAACATATCGTGATGGTTGTAACGTGCCTAATAACGTATTGAAAAGGTGATCTAAAGCACTTTAAAAAAAAAAATTGAAACGATAATAAAATTTGTATTATTATCTTTACTTTAACCATAGTTGTAGTTTTAAAAAGTTAGATACGAAGCATAGAAAAAACTTTTAGACTTTTTTTCGTGTACAACATATTTCTTTCATAATTATATTTTTTTTATAGACCTAGTTAGAGTACGTTTTTATAAAAAAATATTATAAATAATGTTTAATTTATCTTTTAATTCAAACTTAGAAGTAATAATTATTTAAAAAAACAGCACTGAAACCTTTTTCAACATTTCACAACAGGGCTGTATATAAACGTTAAAAAATGTTTATATAACCCTTACAACTTTATAACTATGTTAAGGTATGATAAAAGGATTTTTTTTGATAATTTTTTTCTTAAAGATATTCTTAAATAGTTAAAAAATAAGTTTATTGAGGTTACTATACGTTGGCATAACATTTTTTTTCTTCCCCCTCTTTTACGTGGAATTGCCCATATATATATATATATATATATATATATATATATATATATATATATATATATATATATATATATATATATATATATATATATACATATATATACATAAATATATACTAGCTGTCATGACCCGTAAAATACGGGTCTTTAGGATATTGATGCACACTTTATCCGCCTGCTAACAGTTCATAAGAACTATTATCCGGTTTATAACGCAAGATAATCTCAATCAAATGAAAACATCTAAATGATAACTTTTAATGTCCTAGATACGAAGATTAAACTTATTGATTGCGTAAACACTAACTTTAACATAAATGGCATTTGCGAGACACTTCTTGCAACTTATGTCAAAATTTAATGGTGACTCTAAAATCCTAAAGGATAGGGGGGAAACGCTTTTTTTGTCGCTTTTATCTAAATTCTAAAAAAAATATCAAACAATGTAATAATCTAAAAATAATAATATGATAATGTTACTATCAATGTAATAAATCTAAATCCAAAAGTCAAGGATTAGAGAGATGTAAGAAAAAAATTATAAAAAATTCTTTTTTTAAGCCTTAAATTTTATCTTTTTTTAAGTATTTAACTAAGCATTTAACTAAGCCTCGTGGTGATTAAAACCGCGTGGAAGTAAAACTCGATTGGCATTTTGTTTAAAAAACCTAGGTTGGCACTTTGTACCACAGCGATATTTATCATATACAAAAAAGCTGAATTTCTGTTTTTGTATATTTGATCAACAAAGTTTTTTCTCAAAAAGACTTGGAATATGTCAAGAAAGTTGGAAACTAAGTGTTAAAAGACTTCATGAAAAAACAAAATTTTGAAATTTGTGAACAATTTTTTTTCTCTCGTTAGCGAAGTTGGTTCTGTGTCAAAATGCGAGGATCAAACTTTTGATTAATATCTTTACATATGTTGTCTATATACAATATCTATAAAACTTTATAAGTATTTGAATTTGTATTTAAAAAAATCTAAAAAAAAAATTAGAACAGTAGACGCCAACGGTAGGACTCGAACCACGGCAGCTATGTTCCGAAGCCCAGCGCTAACCACTCGACTACGCTGACGCATTAAGAACTAAAGATTCAAAATTATATAAAAATTATTTTTAACGGATATAAATGCAAAAGATTAGAAATCGGTATTATGCTAATATTAAATAGTTTAACTTTTAATTATTTTTAGAAACAATAAATTTTATAAAATAATTTAGTGTACATATAAAATTAAAATCTTTAATTATGTTCTAAATAAAAATATACTTTTTTTTAGCCCCCTTACCATTTTTAAAAAAAGTTATGGTCGCTGCGTGGCAAGTTCATCAGCTTGGCACGCGGTTTTGTTGTTTAAAATGCAAATCAAAAGTTATATAGATTTTATATTCTATATATAAACA